GAAAAAAATAAAATGAAGCGAGTAGTGCGAGTATGATTTATGTACAACACTGTTGTGTAGATTTTCTAATTTACATCCAATCCGCATGATAACACGTGTACACGATTCTCGACACGCTTATATTGGTGTACTTGTGGACCGATACTTGCACATTTTTTTGCAATTATTCTTTTTCCGTACAGTGACCTTGAAGCGTTTAAAATTTTATATCCCAACGACTGCAGTTTAATGTACGACCGCGGTAGAAGGGAAAACAGCAGGAAAAAATCCTTGACCGTCCGGGTCTACAAATGGCCAATGACGAATAGTGCAGTGTAATTATAATATAATCATTATGCGATTTCACAAACAGTATGCACATAAATCACTTAAGTATGAATTGCCAGTGTACTGACACTGATCGTTTCTCCTTCAAAGCACACGGCCGATAGATTGTTGTAGACTACACCCACTAGGTGTTTTTGTAAGGCAAGTCGAAAACAATGTACGAGAGAGGTAGGTACATCTTTTTATTTTTTATCAGAACCATAGGCGTGACCATGCTGACAGCTTAAGGTGCTCGTGTTGTAACAAAATTCGAACATGTGTCCATAGAGTTTACACGTGTAATAAACGCAATCAAAACAATAAAAATTGTCATACACAAATAATACTTGTACCTAACAAATTTACAACTTTGAAATTATTTATGTACTTGAACAAACGGGTCATTAGTTGAAAGTGTAAACGGGTGGCGTGTAAATGGACCTGTACATGGATTTTACATAGATAATTAGTTTTACAATTCAGTTAATAAAACGCTTTATTAACTCTGACGATTGAAAATGATCAAATGTAAAGCTAAACTATTTATAAGTAAAAAATAAAACATTTTTAGCAAATCAAAACCATTACTAATACGAGTCAATTATTTATGCAAAAGGAACTTTTCCAAAAGTATTCTGATTTCAACACTATTCAAAACCAAGCGTTAGTAAAGTACAAACAGAGAAAAAATATCGTTGAAAATAATTTGATTGACAATACACAGAAGTTTTAAAGGCAACAGACAGCAAAAGTATCTTATATTCGATAATGGCAACAACGTCCGAAAAACTATAGCCAATAATATTGTTTGGTTGTCATTTTAATTTTATCAAAATGTTATTTTGTTTTTGAGAGGAAATAAAAAAAAATGTGCACATGTTTTAAGTCTTCAAATAATTATTCATTTTCATAAAATTGAGAGTTTTTCAAAATAATAGTAATGTCTGTTCATACACGAGTCATTGATAGAATTTGGCGCTATCTATCCATTAATATTTGGTGGTCTAATTTAATATAATATGGTTCATTTTATATTTAAAAAAGAACTTTTAAAATAATCAATTATTGATATGTGATGATACTATGTAATTAATTTTCATTTCTAAATAAAATTAGTGAATTAATATAAAATTAAACAATTAGAGAAGCTCTGTTGTTAATTTATTCTATTCAAAATTATTAGAGCCAAAGATTTTATTTATTGTGTTTTTTTTTTAAATCCACACATTTATATTCTATAATATTTTTTATAACTCCATTCAAATTTAAATGTACGCTACTGGGTAAACATAACATCTTAATAATTTTTTTTACATCTATTATATATACATTACATATTTCAATGCATAATTGCTTTTTATTACTGAAACATTTGCTTTGAAAAACATAGTAAGTTATCAGGCATTAAATTTTAATGAGATAAATGTCTTGTAAATGTTTGGTTATGCTGATTTGTCTACTTTTCATATAGTAACACTATAGTAAAATTTAACTATTCGCACGCGATTACTAAGCGAAAGTACTACTAGTAGTTTTTTATAGTTATCATATATACAATATCAGGTTTTAAAGGACTTCACTGATGACTGATTATTAAAATTGAATAATTTTTGTTACATGTACATGAATGTGTAGAAAGTCAATAAAGTAACTGTTTGGCTGTGAGGAACTGTTGTTCTCCATTTATAATAAACGATACAAAATTTTATAATTTATACTCAATTTTTCGAGGCTAAATAAATAAAAAGATATTTACAAACAAATTATAATAAAAATGTATATTTTTTAAATAAGTCAGTTCCTTTCAAAAAAAACTAATTTTTTACCAACTATACCACTATATGATGTAGTCATAGTATTTTAAATACATTTTTTTATTTCGTCAAAAAACTGTAATAAATTTTTTAATGATTCGATTATTAATAAATCGTACTAATATTTTGCAATTAGTATTTAGCACAATAATAACAGTTCAGCATAAATTAAATAGAGCAACCAGCGTTTAAAAAGTAGTCAATAATTGTAATAATAATTGGGACCGAACGAAAATTAAGGATGTTTTAGGGATTTAATTGAATATACCTTAGATAACTAAAAATTCTAAGAGACGATTTCTACTAGAAGCAAAAGAAAAACAATAAAATAGATAAAGTGAAAAATCACTAACGACTTCCTCATCATGTAGATGGCAAAAATTAACCGAATTCAATTTCAAATTAAAATCAAAAGCTGACAAAAGGTTATGTCCAACTAATATTTCTTTCAATTTATCCATTTCCTAAATAGTTATGAAAGTGTTAGAAGGAAAAAGCTAAAAAATGTAGAAACTTACCGATTTTAAAAATTATTATTTTTTGGAGAGTTTCACCCATTTACGAAGAACGAGGTAAATGTTGGTTGGGTTTGAGGTTACTGTTTTTAACTAAATACGATTTGTGATCTTTTAAGGATGAAATAAATTGGCGCAATGATATTTAAAAAAAAAAGTAATAACATACACAAAAAATCAAAAAATTAACACATGATAATATTAATACCTTCTAAACTTCTCATTTAAGATAAAATAATAATACGTTCCCATTTAACTTTTAAAAGTTACCCCTAAAATCTACTGTTAGAAATATTTTTTTTTACAATAAACATTATATTTTCAATAATTTATAATAATAAATCAAATTTTAATATATTTACATTTTATGAAAAAATCATAATTTAACGAAATAATGGAGGGATGTTTACTTATTAAATCAAACTACATACAATTATTTAAGATATTAAGTATATTCCTTCTTTTTTTTTTTTGTAATAATGTTTTCCACGATAATAAATTACAATAGCAAAAAAATAATAATGATAACTAGTAATAAGTAAATTTGTCCTTCTAAAACACCAAGTATTAAATATTAAAACGTATACTACAATGTTAATAAAATATAAAAATAAATTTTATAGCTAAAATTAAAAATTTAAGTGAGGGTAAAAAATTTCAAAATAATCCGTATAAAGTACATAAGTTATTATTCACCATAAAATTATTAAAAGCCTAGTGAATAACTCGCCAAGTAACAGAACAGTTGCTTCATTCCGGTGGCCATAATAACGTACGTTGCGTGGCGATTGCATATGATTAACAGCCTAGTGTACGTGCAGAGAACGACGACGCAACGTATGGGACCCTGGTACACGATAGTATTAAATTAGTTGCGCACACCATTGTCTGCACCGCTATGAATGTTTCATCTACCGATTACTGTTAGTCGGTATCAAAGCAACGGTCACCGCGCCGTTCACTTTATTTGAAGTGCCGCCGTATTCACTACATCGCTAGTCACATGGGACCCTGGTACCGTATGAACATACCGCTTTCAAGTGTCATTCCAAGTGCCAATCGCACTTTCGCAGAATGCCACGTCCAATCAGCGATAGGGAAACGAAACCTTAACTTTTCATCTCTTCACGAGTATATCCACATAAAAATGGATATTATTTCTTATTTACCTTACACCTCATTGCAATTTTGAACGCATTTCAAAATGTTTGCATTTTACGTTAAAAATTATTTTTTTATTTACAATGGTGACGACAATTTCACTGGATAAGTTTAAAATACACCGCGTATTAATTCTAACTACAACTCATTTAGACAATCCATTTAGACACATTGTACATGTTGTATTAAATTCGGTAAGTTTGTAGCATATTCATTTTCAATTATTAAATTTTAACTTTATTTTGTGTTACTCAATTGAATGAAGTTCATAATTTTTGAATAAAAAACATAAAATAAATTTTAAAAATGAACTTGCTTTAATATTTTTCTAATTAATGATTATAATTTTATGATTTCAATTGTGGTTTTTAGAGAAAATATGCAGAATACATTTATTTTTTTATTTGAATATAGTCTATTTACAACAGAATGTATAGAAACGAAAATTTATATTTTAATGTATTTATATAAGTTCTACTATATGAACAATAACAATATGTCCAAGAAACGCTAATTTTATAATTAAAGCTTTTATTTTATCAAAAATGATTTAAAGTTCAGTAATTTTGGAATACATACAATAAAATGGGAAATAATTGTCAAATAAATAAATAAAATTATTACAATTTTATATAACAAAATTGTTATAATAATCGTACACTAATTTCTTTTAATTTAATATTTAAAAATCAACTTCTGGAGTATTTAATTTTATTAATAAAAAAAACCTTATCTCGAAATTGGTTTTTATTTTAGTGCATAGACTAAATTCTCTTAAATAACACTAACGAATCGAGGAGTTTTTTTGAACTTGACGTGTATTTAAATCGAATTTTACCCTAACTTTTAGATGAATAGTAATTTTTGAATCATGTTCAATATTCTAAATAATAACCTTTAAATAATTTAACTAATTTAAATAATTTAACTAAAACAAAATTCAAATTAAAGTAAATTTTTGATAAATAAAGTTAATCACGTACCACAAATAAAAATTAATAGTGTTATATTTGTAGTTTTAAGTTATTTAATAGTTTTGTTATAATTTATATTAATATTGATATTGTATATTTTTTATTTTTTAAACCAATATTACATATATAATGTACAATTACATTATATATGTAATATTATATAATAATAATCAATGGTAAGAAAAATATTTCTATATTCGTAGTTAGTACAAGCGGACATACATTGTGTGAGCAGTGACAGTTTATTCTTGTGCAAGAAGTTATTTGAATGCTCCATAAAAAATCCTACTTTTTTAAAAGTGACGAGTCGAAAAAAAAAAATAGTAACTCAATAAAATATCAAGGAATATTGCATTTTCCTAGCTGGAGCTTTCTGTGTCGGTTAGTGGGAGGCGAAGTAGTTCTTTATGAACCACCAAACATTTAAAATAATAACTGACACAAGATATATACAGTGCTCGAATTGAGGGGGTGCGCAGGGGGACGTAGCTCCTCTACTTTTTTTAAAATTTTTTTGCGCACCCCAACTACTTTTTTTTATTGGGACGGGAGGACGGTGGAAAATACCACCGTCCTTTTTTTTAAAAAAAAATATTAGTATGATAATGAAATATGATTTATTAATAAATACTAAATAAAGTAATAAGTAAAAAAAAAAAAAAAAGGTCTTCAAAATGCTAGGGACGCAGTTTTCAAATTGTTAAGTTGAGCTCCCCTACTTATTTTTGGCCAATTCGAGCACTGGATATATATAACGTACTACTTTCATGGCTTATATAGTAACAGACACAGAAACAAAATTTGACATTTGTTCATGTGCACATAAATAGATATGGCCATTGTAAAACTGAAATGTTTTACATAAGAGTCAATTCTCTCTTCTTCCCTCCCATAGAGTTTTCTGGAAGATGCCCCTGAGCGTTTTTAGTAAGCATGAAAAATGTTTGTATAGTTCATAACTTATTAAATACTTATCAAAATAAAAAAATACATCACAAATGAATTACGTATACGTACTTTGTTGTGCTAGTTTTTTATGGAATTATGTTTATTGTATTTACTATCATTATCAATTAGATAAATTAATAATTATAATTTATATATGAAATTATATAATCAGAGCCGTGCTAAAGGGAGTGTAACAGAGGCAAGTGCCCTAAAGACGCCGCACATTTGAGGGACGTCAAAAAATATGAACACGTTATTTTTTGCACAAGTGGCATTTTGTTTAAAAATATAATAAATTACGTGCATATCTGCAATGTTATGCTTAAAAAGAAATAACACTGTCATATTGGGCCAGTAAATAATGAAGAATAAATGTGTCCTATCCATTATTTTGTTATGTCACTTGATAAGCTTGTCGTTGTACCAGTGACTGACTATATACAGAATTTTTTTAATAGATCTTAATACTGGATGATAGTTTAAAATAATAATTCCCCAAAAATTGTTCGAAGATAATTGATAACAGATAAAATATTTTTTCGATTTTTTTTAAGTATATTATAAATTGATATTTAAGTATAATAATGTCGATTAAAATTTTTATCATTTTATTTCGATTTTGAATGTAGATTAAAATTTTTTTCGATTAGCATTTCAATTTTTATAAGTGTTATCGATAATATCATAATTTCAAGTCCTGTTTTAAATAACTGAAAATTTCAAGTTTATTCAAAATGTGACATTGTAACATATTAACATAATTTTGGTTCAGACAAATGTCTAGTTAATATTATTCCATTTCGTTATTTCGAGTTCTGCCCAAAAAACTTAATACAAATACATAAGTAAAATTGAAAAAATGTTTTTTATTCTTTCTAGTTATTTATGATTTACTAACTTTCTACAAGGCAAGTACAGAATATGAATTACGCTCCCTTTGGGTTCGAGCAAGTATTGTTTGAAATTTAATTACAAGTCAGCATGGGCTTTTGCATTGGCAGCCTGTGAGTTAATTAACGTGGTGGGAGTGTTGCTTTGTTGGGCTTTGCATAATTTCCGGCTTATTTCGCATTATATTGTATTATATTGTTCTGTTGTTATTATACAGAGTTATGAATCGAAAAAAAAATTACACGAGGCGTAATAGGACAAACTTTAATTTATCCATCCCGAAGTTGAACGGCTCATGAATATACAACAAGAGGTACGGTTTATATTTGTGTATGCTTTGCAAGTCCGTACCATATATATTCGCGGGGTGGTAACCTTTGATCGGTTGGGCGCAATAACCTTTTTAACGACGTCCCGGCCAACCAGCGACCGAAATGGGTCCGGTCACCCTTTTTATGGCATTTGCACACCCCGCGGTCACAGTCGCCACCCTAAGAGCACTGCTGTTGTACTAGGGTGTGGTGGTAGCATTCATTTGCTATTGTCTGCACACAAGGGGGATCGCTGATATAGCGCAAGAAGAATAATTGAATTGCAAGACAGCTACGAAACTGATATCAGCACATAAAATTATAAATAGCAGAAAGTTAATTGAGTAAACATGATTTAATTAAAAGGCTCGATTATTAAAATACGCGAAATCTTTAATCGAAATCAACTTATGTATTAGAAAGTTTTTAGAATTACATACAACACGTCATATAGAAATGAATTATTATTATTATTATTTTATTTTTACCACGTGTAATACAACAATTTTAATCGAGTACATCTTTATTAAAATAATAGCCATTTGTCTCAATACAACTAAGAATATTAGCGAAATTCTCAAATCAAACCTATCTGCCTTTAAGTAAGACTATATCACGTTGTTAAATAGATTATTTTTATGGGCAATATGAATTTCAACAATAATCGCTTATTATTTTAATCTATTAAAAAATAAACGAAAATGAACAAATGAACATTAAAGAAACTTCATTTTTTTTAAATATATTTATATATTATTAACAACTTATTTTACTTAAATTTTCCACAGAAAATTTTAGAAAAAGTGTTTGAAGTAAAAAGAAATTGCTTTATTTTTTAAAAGTTAAGAAAAAGTAAGAATGTATTTACCTTTTATTTTTATTATACAATAATTTTAGAAGGACAGAAAAATTAATACATAGTTTAAGTTTCAATTAAAAAGTATATAATTTTTATTTTTTAGTATTAGTTAGAAACTTATTTTAATTTTGAAGTATTAAATAAAAAATTTAAATTATTACAAGGTGTATAAACTCAAAAATAGAAATAAATTTTAAATAGCTTTACCCTCATAGAACTCATAGACAAGTATAAATTTTATAATTGCTTAACAATCTTAAAGTTTTCTTTTCTCCACAAAGATCTTACACTCTATATATTAATTGAATAAGATTTTTATTTGAATATAATAATTTTTCTAACTTGTTTTTGAAACAAATACAAAAGTAAAAAGATAATTATAGTTTACTAAATAGAGTGTTTAAAGATTTTGTGATGAGTTCATGAATTTCAATTTTCAATTAATTTAATCGTCAAACAAGTCGTGATTTGTGGTAGGCAGGGTAGATGTGAAATTTACGGACGTTGTTGTATTTGACCTTCAAAAAATGGCCCCGACCTTTTATTTAACAATCGAAACAATTGACCTCAAAAAAAAAATTTATAGGCATCCTCAATATCTATTCGTAACCATTTAAATATTAAAATAAAATCCACGACTTTAGGTGTAATATTCTTTTACTTAATTTTAACTTCTATATTTATATGACTACTTTGGTATCGAGATTATTTTATGGAACTGTCCAAACGGAAAAAAATATCGAAGTTGATCTTCTAACTACTGAAAGTGTTGTTAAAATTATATTACATTATCAATTCAATAGTGTGCTATTTTAACTCGTATAAGAATATTATAATCAGGCCTAAAGATTTTATAAATTTATAAAATAATTTCTAATTAATATACACTGTTTAATTTCAAGAAAAACTAACATAAATATTTACTTATCATTGATGTACTCAGTAGACTAAATTAATTTTTATTGTATCGAGTCCTGATTATAATAAATATAAAGCTTTTACTATATTAGGTCTTTAAAATGTAATTTCAATTTATCATCATTAATTTAAGTTGAATCAACAAATAAAATACATCACTATAATTAATACATTCTTAGTGATGACTTTTAGATTTAGAAAGAAAAATAAATATTATAAATCATGACAACAAAACCCAACATTGACATAGTATTATTACATTTAGAAATTAGTCATATTAAATTACTTTTAGATACCTTGCGTTTAATATAAATACATAAATTTTTCATTAGTAAGCTCAAGTTTATTATTTATATTTCTTGCAGTTGTCTTAACAAAACGTGTGACACACAAAATGAAAACCTTTCGTTAACAAGACTGGTGTACGGCTGTATAGAAGACAGACGCAGACATGAACACATTCCAAGGTATTCTTATACGAGTACAGGAGTGTGCATACAGTGTTATACATCTATTACAGAATTTCGGTGAGGTAGGGAGTAATAGTACTGGCGGTGTGATCATTGCATAAATCAACGGTTTTGATGGGCATCGGTCCAACCGGGGTAGTGTTTGAGGCGGCGGCAAGGGTGCGTGCGCATAGGCAATGCACACGATGTATGACGGACCCGTACGGCGAGTAGGAGCACTAAAAAGCCACTGTCGTTGCCGTCCACGTTTTACAACCGTTTCTCCTATGAGCTACCTTCGTCCCCTATACATTTATACGGTTCGTAGATGTAGGGAGGGCGGCAATGGCATAATAGCGTAATGTAGTGTATGCGGCACCTATGTAGCACGTTGACGGAAGGAGCCGGAGGGAAAAATAGAGAGCTGGGAATGAAAATAAAAAAAGGGGGTTGCCGTGAGGGGGTCGTAAAAAGGCCCCCGACGTTTTGGATTTTACGATTGCCCCGCGTGTAATGCATTTGTGTGAATGTACGACGGTGATCGTTATACGCGCGCGTGTATATGTGCTCATAGCGGATATGGAGAGAAGAGAAACGGCCGCGTCTTATACAACACCCCCTTTGAGTTTTTGCGCCCCTTCTTACCGGCGACGGGTTCGTGGTGTGCGCGTTTTTGCCGGCTGCCGTCGTCGTCACCGCCGCTACTCGGTTTCGCACCCCGGACGCGCGTGGACGGACGCCTGCAACCCTTCAGACGATTCGCTGTCGACAACAGAAACTCATCTCAAGCTGCTTCGGGTATACAATTACCACCACACCAGAATACAGGTGAGTAATACAAATTATTATTGTGTTAAGTTTAGAGTGTAGCTGTTCTATTATCGTAACGGTTAGACGTCGTGGTACAAAAACGGAATCACTCGATACTTACCAACACCATCTTGTACTAGAAATATCACTAATAGGTTCTCTCAACCGCTCCGCGACAGTATTGATATTTTGATTAGTATATTTTTTGTTAGGTTGTTTTTTATCATAATTTGTTATGCGCATAGCCTCCCACATTCACTTCCTCCTTCATTCCACCTCTTAAAACAATATCTCCGCCTTCTACTGGTAACCATCATAACCGTTCTCTTCTCTCTAAATAATTTTTCAATTTCCTTCGCTTGTTTGAGAAATAACCGGTTCTTTACAAATAATTATGTATCTCGTTTACACAAATCAGTTAACTTAAATATCACGACAAAATTACTGATTACTTTAAAGCAAAAAAATATAACAAAAAAGTAAATGTTTATAATTCACAGTATTATGTATACTTATAAACGTGTAGTCAATTTTATAAAAGTCCACTTGATTTACACAACATATTTTACAATATAATTTAACTGCTACATATGTGTTAACTAAAATGTAATAGTGCAAAACTGTCAGCACCAATAAAAATATTAAAATATACGTTATTACTATATTTTATGTTGTAGTGTTACAAATTTGAATATACATTAAAGTTCTCATGTTATGCTACACGCAAACTTTCGTTTGAAATGTGCATTACAGTATTTTGCAACAGATTGCTAAAAAAAAGAACGCGTTATTTAATTTAATCTTTATTTTTTAAGTAAAATATATTTAACTTAGTAAATTTTTCTTGACTAAGCGATTCTTAGGTACAATAATACACTGAGTCTAGAAATAAACTTAGTATAAACTAGTTTTAACTGCTCTAATTAGAACAATCAATACTAAATTTTCAACACTTGAGTATCTATGAAAAATATTAAATTACTTTTTAAATATATTCAAATAGATAATATTTAGATAAATAATAACGTCTAAGTCACAAGACATCAATTTGTATATTATCATAGTTAATATATTTTAAATAAACTATTCTATAATACCTAATTATTAAATTATTTATTATACTGAACTCTATTTTACTTATAGTGGAAATCAAATAATAAACAATTTAATATCAATAATTCATTATTTTAGTGAATTAACTGAGTACACTTTAACGTCAAATTACTATTAAGATTTTTTTAATATACTAAATCTGATATAAAAAAACTATAATAGGGTCTTTACGAAAAAAACAATCAATATTAAACTTATGCATTTAGAAGAAAAAAACTTCATGTTTAATTCCTAATATGATCCAGGTAAATATTTTGTTTTTTCTTTTTAAATAAAGATTTTCTGTGATTTTTTAACAATCAAATAGTTTTAAAATAACTAGGTCATGAAGGTTCACTGAAAATGTATAGAATGTTATTTTTTTCTATAATTATAAGGTCATTTAACATACACTTGGTACAATACATATTTTAAGAAACAAAAAAAATATTGTGTTTATGCTAAACTCTACTGACCCTCGTAATGCGCGTGACCCATGAGGGTTATATTAAGCGGTTCTTTTGGTATCATCAATATGGAGGACACGTACGACCACATATATGCAAAAAAAAAATTACATGAAAAAATCATTGTTCAGAATTTATGGCATTTCTTGTCACAACTGTGAACTGACCTAGATTTCATTTACTACTATAATAAATGTTTTGGGTTTTCACGCAACCCCTTTCAAAAAAAGAGAATGTTAGACTTATTATAATTATAAAATTGTTAATATTAACAAAAATAAGCTTAAAGAGAGAAATATTGAATAATAAATAGGTTACCCTTCAAATAAAATAAATTATATAAAACGTTACATTGATTTTTAAAATTGTGCAAAAGCGCTTAGCTGTAATTATTGTGAGTACAATTATTTTATTCATCCATCTGCCAAATTGATAGGTTAAAAAAGAAGTATAGTTTACTATTATATTTGTCTTAACGTACGAAACGTAATAATTTTTAAAAATTAAAGTAGGTACACACTACAAAAAAGGAGAGAAACTTAATTTTTTCCTACAAAAATTGTTACATCACATCAAGTTCATCGGGAATCCCCATATTTAACAGTTAACAGTAATCTATCAAAATGGTCATCTTGTTAATTTAAAACTACAGAGCATACATTAAATCTCCTATTTATAACACAGTAAGAAGTTTAAAAACCAATCAAAAATTGAATGCAGGTTACTTACTTTAAGTACAGGATAATAATTTTTGATGATTTAAAGAACGAAACACTTTATTAACAATTAATACATATTTCGTTGAAAATGATTCAATTGTTTTTTTAAATAACTAAAGAAAAAGAAAAATATCATTATTGAATTGTAATTCACTATTTTGTAAATGTTCAATAAATTATCAAAAAATAAATCCAAATGATTGATTTAAGTAATATTCACATTCTAGATATCAAAAAATGTAATAAATATAGTAGTAAAATTAAAGTTTTAATGTCAAATGTAAACGCTATTATGTTCTAAACTTATTTGATGTTAACAGATTTACCATCCCAACGACTCATTTACTGGCACTATGATTATTATTCGGGGAATTCAATCACAATCCGGTTCCTAGTAATTACCAAACATATTAATGTGAAATATTTTATGGGCTCGATTAGAAAAATTATCCGAAACCTCAATAGTTACACTTTGGACTACCGTCGTCGCGTGCATAATGGTCGTTGTTCGTGAATTTTTCACCTATAGTGACGTTTAAATTAAAATAATTATAATTATTTTATGGAAAATTCAAGTCGATACATTTTTTAAAATATAAGTGCTCGTTCTTTGGTCCACACGAATCTACCGGAACTATGTTCAAAATACGGTATGTAAATTTAAAATGTTCAGTAGTTATATAAGTAAAATGACGCAATTCTTTAATAAGGTAAATCATTTATCATTATAAAAAACGTTCATTTTAAGATTTTTCGATGACTGTAGGTAAATTTGAAGAAATGATAATTTAATCTTTCAATTTTAAATATCATAGTATAATAATTCTATTTAATTGTATTATTTTGCAAACTTTTGAAATATACTTACAACATGTTGAATGAGATATTGTTAAACCTTTCATTATTTCTCTTAAAAATAGTTATTTGTTACAAGTCATGTCAATTGGGTAAATTTTAAATCTCATGAGCTTTATAAACATTGATGGCTGTTTTTATCGGTGTCGTAATTCACTCATGATGTTGTTTAATTAACATTCTTAATTATTCTTCATTTCGCAGACTTAACTTATGTACTTTTGTTATTATTGTTACTAGTGGATGACAAGTTTATTAAAAATACATTCTTATGGGTTGATTTTTCTAAAAATTAACTAATCAACTGTTTAGCTATACTGTTTATTAACTTTAGACAACTTAAAACTGTATTTTATAATGTTACTATTTTCACAGTTGGAATAATTTATATTTTTCTTGGTGTATGTTTATGATTTGTCATAATTACTTAATAATATCAAAAAAGAGATTATCTTTTTGATTGTTATTATTGAATTTAGTTTAATTCATACTATTTATTTATGTTTTTACTTAATTTGATTGAAAATATTACCTTCTTAGCAAGTATCATTTTAGAGTTGTTGTAAGTCTACAATTAAGAAAATATTACTTCTTATTAATTACTCTCAGTAAGTTTGGTAGCTATATCTTAAAATATTGGTGCCCAGAGCTGCCTTACGCCAAGATATTTCTTTTAAATTACCTCTTACATTTTTTACTTTGTACTGCAAAATTTTGTATTTAAGTACTTGTGGTGAAATTATGGAATATAGTATTATTAATTAATTATTAAGAACTATCGATTTGCACAATTACTACATGTATAAAATATTATCGACATATTATTTACTCGTTCATATATTAGTAAGATGTTCATATTTGGCCTGTATTTTTTCAAATATAGACAATTAAAAAAAAAGGGTTGTTCCGGTAATCAGTTGCAAGTAATTACTAAATTATTTAGTTATAAAAATTTTTATTTAAAATTTAAGTTGACTAATTCTTTTTTACATTGAATTTTTTAAATATTAGTACACAGGAGCGAATTGGCTCACTAAATCGGGGCTGTTCTTATGTGGGTGTGTCATATCTCCCACTAAGCAAAATTTATAGCCAATAAACAAATTTTTAAAATAAGGTGGCTTAATAAAAAAAACAACAATGGTTCAAAAATTTAGCTACGGATTTTTTTACCGTTTTGCTGGGGGAATTTATGTTGAAGGGAAAAAATAGAAGTGAGCTGGATCAAAATAATTGTAGACCATGCGTTTATGTTAAAAATGTTATCCGACTTTTTCAAATCAATTATTGAATACCACGAGTATAACGTAAAAATTCAATATTTAATACAATTAAAACTATTTTATTTTTTTAAAAACATATTTTTAGTTATATTTTTATATATGATAAAGATATAAAAATATATAATTTTAAAACTACATTATATTATGTTGGCATTCTAGATAAATTATGAATAATTAGTATAAAAAGGTCGTATGAGCAAAACAAGTTTTTATTTTCAGCGCAGTATTTTTGAGTGGACATATTTTTTCATCGAACATTATTTTAATTCTTCTCAGTGATTAATATTATTTATCTTTATTAAATAAGTATTTTCATATAACTTAATTTTTTAATTTAATAATCGTTTTTTCTGGAGATTTATCCTCCCTTCCCCAAATCATTGTATTTATTCAAACTTAAAATATTCAAAATATTAGCTTGCTACCTAAGTAGTTTTAAAATACTTTGCATTAATAAATAAAACGGGTATATAGACTTCCCCATTCTTAATCTTTATGAACGTGTATGATTCTTTTTATGAGAAACCTGTTTCAAAATAAGAGTATATAATATTATATACACACAAGAGATTTAGAGTAAATTAAATGGAATATGCATAAAC